ATCACTAGGGCTTCCCTGGTGGCGCAGTGGTTGAGAGTCCGCCCGCTGATGCAGGGGACACGGGTTCGTGCCGCGGTCCGGGAAGATCCCACATGCCGCGGAGCGGCTGGGCCCGTGAGCCATGGCCGCTGAGCCTGTGCGTCCGGAGCCTGTGCTCCGCAACAGGAGAGGCCACAACAGTGAGAGGCCTGTGTACCGCAAAAAAAAAGAATCACTAACTTCAATGTACAGCTCAGTGAGTTCTGACAGATGTGTATAGTTGAGCAGTTTCCATTACAATCATGATTTAGTACAATATAAAAATAGAGAAATTGACATTGACACAATACTACTAGGCAGACTACAGATCATGTTCAGATTTCACCAGTTTTTACGTGCACTCCTGTGTTTGTGTGTAAGAGTGTGTGTGTAGTTCTATGCAGTTTTATCATAGGTACAGATGCATGTGACTACTACTGTAATGAAGACACAGAACTGTCTCACCAACACAGAGAGCTCCCTGGTGCTGCTTGGTCACAGCCTGCCCCTCTCCTAACCCCTGGCAGTCACGGGTCTGTTGTGTGCACGTTGTATTTCCCTGTTATTTTCTGTTGCCCCCACTAATAGAGTGTGCCGTTCAGTGAGGGCAGACGTAAAGTCTGCCTTCACCATTGTGTCCACAACACAGTAAGACATGGGTTTTAGGTGCCTAATTGATTCTCTCGAATGACTTATTAGTGATGATTGAGTTTTAATGCTAATGCCCTGATGTTCAAAAATTTGGATGAGATTTATTAGAAGATGTCAAAAAAATCCAAGAAACAAAGGAACTGTATGCCTTTGGAATTTGAGAAATCACATTGGTTTGTGTGTGTGCGCGTGCACTCTCAGCATTAGATCTTCTTAAAAACTGATATGATTCTTCAGGTACCCCTAGTATATTTGTGGTTGCTTTTGCATTATATATGGACAAGAAAAAAGAAACAATGGAAACACTTATTGTCGTACAGGTTTTCTAGCCTTGGTCATCTCCTTTTTTTTTTTTGCGGTACGCGGTCCTCTCACTGCTGTGGCCTCTCCCAATGCGGAGCATAGCCTCCGGACACGCAGGCTCAGCGGCCATGGCTCACGGGCCCAGCCGCTCCGCGGCACGTGGGATCTTCCCGGACCAGGGCACGAACCCGTGTCCCCTGCATCGGCAGGTGGACTCTCAACCCCTGCGCCACCAGGGAAGCCCAAGGAGTTTGTTTTAATTGAGAACTGCCATTGGGTTCCTTCTGCATACAAACACTCCACTCTTTGCTCTCACAGAACTCAAGGAGGAGTGCCTGACAGTTGAGCCAACTTGGCCGACTGCCTCGGATCACTCAGGTGGTGTCTGATGTAGATGGTTATATACACATTTGTCTGCCCTCAGCCCCATTTTCTTTACACACACTATCGAAGACTTTCAGGTCTATTTGATAAATTCCTGTAGCTGACAGAATATTCAGAGACCAAAACGAGGCAAAAGATCTCATGTGGCAGCCAGAGCATTGACTTGGCATATGGAATAAATTATGGAGCAAGTTAGGATTAGTACTTTTATTAGAGATGTGAGTGGTTTTTATATTAAAACCTGTGCTTTAGTTCTGTTGCAGAATAAGGTGAAAAAACTCATGAATGTAAATATGATACTTGCCCACAGAAGGAAGTCCAGATACATCCTGTTTTTTAAGCAGGAAATTGACATCCATATGGAAACAAATTAATTTAATAAAACAAAGAACAACATTCAGAGATATTTGCTTGAAAGACTTGGAAATTTGCTGGATTTGGAGTTAATAAACAGTAGTAATCCATGGTATAAAAAAGAATATAACACAATGACAGTGGTAAAACAAACTAAGACATGCACGTGAAGCCATCATGTTAGACCCTGGGGCTACCAGGGTTATGAGCTGTGGTCCTTACTGGTCATTAATCTTCCTTCTAGTGGAGAATGCCTACACTTTCTGAGAGTTCACAAGAAGGTATAGGAACACACTGAAGCTTGAGTTATGGGGGTCAGTGGATGGGTTTTTGAGTTTTAACTTTAACGCTTGCTGTGTGACCTTGAGTACATTAATTTTGAGTAGTTAAGCTTTCTGTTTTTTATGTATAAAATAGGACTAAGGCCTATCTTGAAGAGTTATTGAACAGACTATAAATAATGTATCTAAAACAGCAGAATACCTGACCCCTGGAATAATAAGTAGTTCCTGCTCTCACCTTCATTCTTCTAAGGTTCTTTCTAAGGCTCTTAACTGGGGATTAGAGTAGGGTCCAACTCACAGTGACGCTGCGAATAGTAAATGAGAGCTATGTATAAATCTGTCTGACATGGCAATGTGAGTATATTTACTGTAAGCAACTATATAGCTATACACACGCACACTTAAATGTCCAATAAATTGCATTTATTTCACAAATGAAAGCATGAAAGTTAGAAATGTTTTATAAAAAAAATGAACACTGAGTGTTAAAAACCCTACATTTTGAAGAAAATTGCATGAGCCCAACATCAGGACGTGATGTGCACAGTGGTTCAGAGAACAGCCCCTCTGGAGCCTGGGTGACAGGGACCTTGCGGGGGGGTTGCTCTCTGTCCTCACAGAGGGCAGCTGCCACAGGGTGGGGGAAGGAGGAAGGGAGGGTCTGCTGAGATGGCTGGTTCCATGGTGGATCCACACACTTGGCAGAAAACATGGATCAGTGCACACAGTGAATGGGCCTCAGGCCATAGTCATACAGCTCTGAGTCAAGAGTAGTAGATTGTTACTGTAAGAAAAAACAACTCGCAGAACTTTTAAGTCACGTTCATAACTAAAGGGATTTTCCATAAAGATCATTGTTAATTTTCTCTTTTTTTTCATTTTTGCAACTAATATGAATTTGGTTTTGATGACTGAATAAAGCATGTGATTACATTTTTCCACCTTTGAATAGTGTTTAAAGATTATAGTAACTAATCTTAAGATAGTTTTGTAATAATGCATTTTCCTCAACATGTAATTGCTGTTCTGCTCTGGTTGCTTCAAAGTCTGCACCAAACCATAAGCTAAGATCCACTGAATGCTTCAGTCAGAACAACTGTGGTGTTTCTCTAACTCACATAAATACAGTCTTGATTCATCTGTCCATTTTTGTGTTTAGTAATAAACCTACTTATGATGCAAAAAAGTTAGTTTTAAAATTTGGATTTATTTTTTGCTATAGAGGAGAAAGAGCCAATTGAAGTGTAAACAGAGTGATTCTAGAATCAAAGCTGTTTACTTAATTTAGTGGGTTGGATAATTCAGTTCTATTGAATCAGTCTTAAATGCCTGCTATATTTAAGGAATAGAAATTACTATTGCTTGTAACTCTTATGGACAATAACATTTACACACAGAGGTATCCAAACCATGGTTTGATGACTTTATTCTTTCATTCATTTACTCAGTCTTCAGTCAGTCAGTGTTTATGGACCACCTAAGTAGAGGTGCTAATGCAGAAAATAGAGCAAAGGTTTCAGAGGAAATGGCGTTTAGGTCAGAAATAGATCACTGCTGGCTGAGCAGGCATCGCCTCCGTCCTGAGAGGAGTGAGTAGATGAGCACACATGCCCCTCAGGTTATAGGTTCTGGTACGTTAAAGAGGGCATGCCCGTCTGAAGACTTTTCTCTGTAAGAAAGAGATGTGGCTGGTTGACTGGAGAAAGTGTGAATCAGTGTGTTGCCAAGCTTCCTAGGCAGGCATTGCCGAATTTCCAAGCAGCCTCAGGCGATCGTTTGAGGTTTGTCTTCGGGAACGTAAAGCGAAGCACAGAGCAGAGTTTCTCCAGTTGCTCAGCAGTAAGCGTGGAGAAGGAGGTGGGTGGCTGGTTTCAGTATTTGCTGGTCTTGCCAGGGAATTAAAATAACGGGAAGAAGGAGGTTGGGAGGTTTGGGGGTCTTTTCAAGGGAAGGTTATGAACTATCACTATAAGGTTGGCAAAGTAGTTAACTTGGGACTAGAAATCTTTTGAACGAGCGAACTGACAGGCTAGGTAGCAATAGAACAGGATCTGTGGAGTTTTTCCTAGGGCAGAGGTCAGCATACTTTTTTTGTGAAGGACCAGAGAGTAAATATTTTAGGGTTGAGGACCAAGAGGCCAAATGGAGGGGAGGGTATTATGAAATACTTATATAACAAGAGACAAGACAGACTTCCACGGAGTTCTGTATTGGTGAAATTCATAATATAATAATTGAGTGCGTTTTTTTTGTAATAAAGGTCTACTAATGAGAGGAACAGAAGTTCCTTTTTGGGGGAGGAGTAACATTTCACTTAATCGAAGTTCAGAATGAATGCTCCTTGTCATCAAAATCAATTGCAGATCTTGATCTCTTGATGCTAAGCTGTGAGATTTTACATATTTCATCTTTGAAAACATCTTCACACTGATGAGTGCTCTCAGATACTGGTATCAGTCCCTCACAGTTATTGGTTGGAAGGCCTTTGTACAATTAATTAGATCCTTCTCTATATCACACTTCAAGCATGTTGGCACTTTGCAGATGAATCACTTATAGTCGATGGTTAGGTGGAATCACACCAGTTGCAGGATTAAATGGATTTTGAAATAACGTTAGTTTTCTTTGCCTTTGCATTGAGGTCCAAAAAATGGTGCTGGGACTGTAGTTCGAGTTCAGAAAATATAGCCACCGCAAGTTTGCCTGGAAATGGAGATCTCCCTTCTTGTTTTCCCTTTGACAACATGGAGGGTAGAAAGCAGCTTGACGTTATTGTGATTCACATGATGTTTAAGTGCTCATAGATCATATATGTTCTTCACAAAGGAAGACTGTTTGACTCTTTATTCTTTGGTATTACTCATTTCATACCCAGCATCTAGCGTGATTATTGACACAGTGTGTGTAAAGCATGTAAATGGCACCCAGTAAACATTTACTTAATGACTAAGTTTAAAACATATTCTCTTACAGCAACATTATTTTACCCATTCCTTTTTACTGTAGGTGAAGAGCGATTATATGTTGGAGATCGCTGATCAAGTGGACCAGGACATTGCTTTGAAGTTGGGTTGTCTAGAAATACGGTAAGGTGGTAACTAGACATTGAGGTCTTCATTCAACAGTGTTTTCTGTTATTTTTTCTAGGTATTTTTCTTTCCTGATAAAGATTATCAATAAAATACTGAATAAAATGAGTAAACTTTGATGATACTCTGAATTATGTTGACATTGCTAATTTTAGAATCTTTTAAAATATTACATTTAGAATTGAATGATTTATAAGAGTACAAGTATGTAAGCAAGTCTAAGGCTGAGCTCCCCAATAGAACCTTCTGTGATGAAGGAAATGTTCAGTATCTGTGAGATCCCATGTGCCAGCCACTAGCCAAGCTGGATGCTGAGTGCTCAGATGTGCAGCATCTGAACATAAATAGCCATTTATGTCTAATGGCTGCCATTATGGGGGATGGGAAACTGAGAATGTATTTCTTATTTCTGATAACATTTGTCACCATTTGTCATATATTCTGTGCCACCATTTAAAACTTGGAGTGAAAGAAATATTTTACCTTTGTCAGGTATAATTTAATTAAAATTTACCCCGGCTCGGGGCTTCCCTGGTGGCACAGTGGTTAAGAATCCACCTGCCAGTGCAGGGGACACGGGTTCGAGCCCTGGTCTGGGAAGATCCCACATGCCACGGAGCAACTAAGCCCGTGTGCCACAACTGCTGAGCCTGCGTTCTAGAGCCCGTGAGCCACAACTACTGAAGCCTGCGCGCCTAGAGCCCATGCTCCACAAGAGAAGCCACCGCAGTGAGAAGCCCGCACACCGCAACAAAGAGAACCCCCACTCGCCGCAACTAGAGAAAGCCCGTGGGCAACAACGAAGACCCAACGCAGCCAAAAAAAAAAAAATTTACCCCAGGCTGCTAGTTTAAGATGTGTTGGTTAAATTAGCTAAAATTTGATTACGTGTACTCAAAACAGTGATAATTTTCCCGAGAGAGCACTGTTTTTCATATTATATAAGGCTATCAAATAACGGTTCCTACAAGGACCCAAAGATCATTAAGTATAACTCTCAACTCTTCATTAAAATTTGTTTTCAACCTTAATTATATATCCCAGTAAAAAAAAAAAAGCCATCTCTCACTGGTCTCTTCCCGTTCCTGGCCTTTACAGTTTTTGCTTGGGAAGCAAACTTGGCGCACTTTCCTTCCCACAGACAATGCTGTGATGTATTACTTGGAAGAGGGGTCCAGGAGCATTAGGCCCTACATGAATGGCATGCGTGCCTCTCTGGGTTCCCCTCCCACTCTGGCCTCTCCATGTTACGTTTATCCTTCTCCTCCTCTCCCCTGTTTGAGGTCACTGATTTTTGAACTCTGAAGGAAAAACTTGACAGAGTAGTCACCCGCCCAGCTGCCCCTCCCAAACTCCTCCCCCACATGAATAGAAAACAGGAGAACACATTAAGTGATCCTTTTTGGGCCCTTGAAAATTTTTTGTCAAAATCTAGTACTTTCGATTTTAAGTAGGCCAAAGAAAAAGTCAAATTTAAAAAGCAAAACCAGTATTCATGTTATTACAGACAAGTTTGAAACAGTCTTGTTGATTACACAGTCTCCTGGGAAATCACTTCAGGTGATTTGTAATATCTGTGTGTTCCAAAGCAGCTCGAGCTAGACCTTGTCCCTTTGTGAGATAACTGTGTACACGCAGAGAATCCCACCCACTTGGGGCAGATTTTGCAGAGAAAGGACTTGGTTCCAGTAAGACCTGAAATTGCTTGAACATGTAACTTGGAATAAGAAGTAAAATTCAGACTGTGAACACTCGGCGAGATAGGCAGCACTTCTCTGCTGCGCCTGGCGCCTGTTACCTGGACTAGCCCACTGCGATGATTCTGCTTCAGGTCCCATACTGTTTCCTTAGTAACTGTGGGTCTTCCCAGGAGCAGGTGGGGTGCGCACCGGCCACAGGGGCAGCCTGGGGTTCCTGGCACTGTCCCTTGAGGAAAGGCCAAGTACAAGTAGCGAATGTAGCTGATCTCTTTTACAGCTGGAATCTGGTTTCTCATTTTGCAAAGAGCCAGACCTGCTTCACATCAAAAGGGAACGTGAGATTGTTCAGTAGAGATACGGTCTGTGTTAACTGATTTATGCTGCATTAGGATGCAGGAAAAATGCTGCGAATCAAATTGGTTCTTTATTTGTTGTTTATCAGAATGTTTGTGGCTTAGCCGCGTAGTAGTTAGATACCCCCCTTTCACGGTTTTTAATCATTTAACATCGCAGACATTCCCAATACCAATCTATGAGTGTGTATCTTCTCTGCTTTTAGGCGGTCGTACTGGGAGATGCGGGGCAACGCCCTGGAGAAGAAGTCTAACTATGAAGTATTAGAGTAAGTGCGGCACGTCCAGGCGCTGCCTGCAAGCATTCAGAGCTAAGTCACTTTTCAAACTGTAGATTTTACTGGTTTATCTTTACTTAAAACTTAATATTAAATCTGAAACACTACTGTTTCTAAAACTTCTATATCCGGAAGAGGAAAGTTTTATTAAGAAATGAATTCTTGGTGACGTTAATTATGTTAGCAGACATTTAAATTTGTTGATAAATGTCTTAGGGTTAATATTCTTTGGCATGTTAACACAAACAATAAACTCTTCTGTCTCTGTAGATTTAACCATATTGGGATGGAGTTTCACTTCTAATTTATATTGAACTATGAAATTGTTATTATTTATATTCTCTTTATAAGTTTATTAGGGTTTTTTTTTCCCTTAGTTAAAAAAAAGTGGAAAGATGGGAGTTATTTGTTGCTTATGTATCAGAAAATTTAGGATAACTGAATATTTTTCCAATAGTGAAGTTAACAGTCGTTAGACGGTTACGTTAGAGTATTTAAAATGCATATAAGACAGAGTGGGGCTTATGTCTTGGGAGGCTGAAAGTTCTGCACTTTATCTGTTGATAATTAATTCAGCAAAAAAATCACTGATATTTGTTATTTCCAGTTTTATTTTCATTAGCAATGGTGCAACTTTTTGCCAGCACTTTTCCTGGCCATATTATTACTGAAATTCTTGCGCTATTTGGAAGATGTTACTACAGTGAAGTAAAAGGTTGTCCATAAGTACCCTGCAATAATAGAGACTTGACATGGCTTTGGGTTTTATTTGACTTTCCAGGTCAGCCCAACTGCTATCACACTGTGAAAGTATAATATCCCACCGTTTTGAAAACAAGATTTTACAGGGGAGGTATGGTCATTTGAAAATAAAAGTAGAAGTAAATATTTGGGGGAATTAGTTATGGAGCAGGTCCGACCATTTGCACTAATAACTGGTGGTAGACGTGATAGTTATTTTGCAATCACACAAGCCTCCTTTGTCCTAATTGTGACAAGTGAGGTAGCGCCCCGGGCAGCCTGTCTCGTTGTGGCGCGGATTCATCCCTTGATTTCTGGACCTACTGTATTAGCATAATGTAAGTTTCATGACAGTGTGCAGCGTACAAGGCACTCACTAAATATTTGTGGTTGTGTGTTATGGACACATCCATCACGTAATGTTGTGCCTCTTAACAGATTGAATAAGGATAAAACACGGAGTTGTTAGAGCTGAATGAAAACTTTTAGAGATCAATTGGGATATCTTAGTAGCCAGAATGATTTTAAGTAGAATTTTCCCTGCCCTTCAGTTGACAGCATAGAAGCAACAGTATCATTAATAACATTAAAAAAAAAAACAAAAAAAACTAACAATCACTGTGGTTTAGGTTTTTGTTTAAAATTGCCACATTCCTCAGCCTGAAAGACTCTTCCTACTGCTTAAAATACAAATGACTAGCATCAGAGGAATCATTGAAGGTCTTGTGTCAGGTACATGCTAGGTTTGTTCTCATTTCAAATGGAGGTTTTTGAAAAATATCCGTTTGTTTCTTTGTTTATTCGTTCATTTAACAAAGATTATTGAGCATCTGCTGAGCCCTTGGCAGCTAAGTGCTAGAGATGCAGAAGTGGATAATCCAAAGTTTTCACCCTCAGGAGGCTTACAGCTGGAAGGGAGACTCTCAGACAGTAAGCAGAGTTGTAAAATAATATAGTAGGAACTGAAGTAGAAGCTTCTAGAGGGTGTGTGGGGGGTGGTACTCCATGTCTGAGGTCTGATGGGAGATGCTGTCTAGCCTGAGTGGTGGAGAAGGAACGTGGGCAGGCGGAGGCTGCTGCTCCGGAACCAGCCAGTCCCGGGAGAGAGCGCAGCATTTGCCAAGACACAGAAACGTGGACGGTCAGTTTACTGCGGGTAGAACACCTTGCCCGTCGGGGAGGGCTGTGATGTGTGTTGTAAACAGCTCCAGGCGTTGACACGGCCTCCAGACGATTAGGTCGTGATGACTCGGTGAGCCAGGTCCGTGACAGGAGGAGCTTTGTGATGGAGAATTCCATATTCCCAAATTGGAATGGTATTAAAGAAAGTTAAAAATGGAAGTAGGGAGCCCAGAAACTGTTGCATCTTTCCTTTCTCCTGGAGGAAGAATGAGTCTCTGACGTGGACTCCATAGCAGGAGCAGTGGAGGTGGGAGTTTACCAGAGTCAGGGTCTGCGGACTGGCTGCCTGGTTGGATTGGGGTGAAGGAGGCCAAGGAGGCATCTGGGGATTCTCGTTTTCTGTCCTGGGCCAGTGGGCATGTCAGTCACAAACAATTTCGTGTTTGGAGGGAAGGAGGATAAGTTGGTTGGGACGTGTTCAGTTCTGAGGGAACATTTGTGTTATTTAAACGAAAAAGGAAACAGAAATGTTGGTTTATTTTCTATGTTATAAAATCACTAAAACCACAGCTTTAAAAAAAATCTCTGATGGTACCCAGTGCCTAGATGTTGGTTTCTAATATCATTCTTCAATGAGAGGAAGCAGGACTCCTGATCCGAGGGGCAGGGGGAGATATATGGGCCTAGAGCATCTTGTAGAGCTGGAAAGGAGCAAGCGCTTAGAAAAGCAGGTGGTGGGGCTGTGTCGGAGCATCAAATTGGAGTCCCAGTGACCAAAGGTAAGGCATTTGGGCAACAATGAATGACTTAGTTTTGGGTTATAGCCCAGAGTATGAAATAAATACCCATGGGCCTATATGAATATAAATAATTGAATAGATAAATATATAGAGAAGTGATAAATCTCCCACATAGAAGAATTCTAAGTAATATTTATATGGACACAGCCTGAGGAGGCGGATCATAAAATCCCACCCTATACTGTGGGCTCCGCTTAGTGACGTGTGTCTAAAGAATAGAGTGTGGAAGGGTGTGTGAGTAACCTGACAGTGGAGCCATCTGACAGGCGCTACCTCAGCCAGGTGGTCACGGTCAGCATCAACACCAACAGTTATGTTGATGGCATGTGTGTCCTTGGTGTGATCTGTTGAGAATGACACTTCATCTCTGTGGTCTGCTTCCCCAAAACCTAAAAACCCAATCCAGACTTGCGAAAAACAGGTAATTCTCATTTGAGGGACGTTTTACAAATTACCAAACCAGTACTACTCAAAACCGTCAAGATCTTTAAAAACAAGGCAAGTCTGAGAAACTGACACAAGCCAAGAGGAACCTAAGGAGATGTGACGATTAAATTGGATCCTGTGAAACAGAAAAGTGACATTAGGGAAAACACTGATGAGATCTGAAAGTGTAGGGCCTGTTAGTAATGATGTATCAGAACCGATTGATTAGTTACGGCAGAGGTGCCATAGTAATGCAAGGGAAAGCCAGGTGTGGGCTATTCAAGGAACTGTACTATCTTTGCAACTTTTCTGTAAACCTAAAACTATTCTAAAATAAAAAGTTTATCTTGGGAACAGTTCTCAAAGCTTTCTGAGATGCTCTTCCCGGGTTATAATCCTCCAATTTGGCTCGAATAAAATTTTCCATTTCTTAAAAAAAAAAAAAAAAGAACAAGAGAATTGGAGAGGAAAAAGCCAGCAGGCACTTAGAGATGATCTAAAAAGGTGAATCATTGTGCGAAGTTGGAGAAGGAGGGCCAGGTCAGTGGCTTGCATTGTAGCGTGCCCGGCTGTCAGAGAGTTGTCCTCAGGGCCACTGTGATGTGGACTGTGTCCCAGCCTGTCTTTGTGAGAGGCCCACGTCGGAACGGGAAGGGTAACTGAGCCATGGCAGCTGGGTGAGAGCCAGAGGTGTCATGGGAATGAAGAGAACAGGTACCTGGGGGAAATCTCCGTGGGTAATACATTTGGATGTTTTTGGCAACAAGAAAAGTCTGTAAAAAGAAAGAAAATGAAGAAGCAGGTATCCATCAAGATGGATTTGGAGCTATATTTGGAGAGAGGAGCGTTAAGTTCAAGATGTGTTTGATATCAGAGTCAAAAATTGCATTAAAGTTGGTGTGAATTTGGCTTATTTCTAAAAATTACAGAAATCGAGGCGGCAGGAGAACAGATATGTGGAAGAGGGCCCACTGGAGTATTAATCAGTGCCTCCAGAACTTCAGCGTGTCTGTGGGGTCAGTGGCATGGAAAGTGTGGGAATCACCAGACATGAATTAGGGCCAGTGACTGTTGCCACCTGCAGCCAGAACAAAGCAGTACAGCGTGATTTTGTCAATTAGAGGCCTCCTTAGAGGATACTGATGAAAACCGGAACTATCTGTTATTCCACAAATGGCCGTTGTGTAGTAGTTATTCTATATGTAAGATATTTAAATTAAGTAAACATGATGGTTAAGGAAAAGAAGGGGCAGGATGAGAGACTTCCAGTTCCCACTGTTACTGTGCTGGTTTGGGGTCCTTCATAATGGTGTGAGTTGTGTGAACTCACTACCCCATCTCAGTGTGAGAAGTGGGGCGATGGAGGGGGCTCTTGCAGCAGGTTGCTGCCCTGTTGGCTGGCTCTTCCACTCACTGTCCTGGATCAGTAAAGCCCTGGGTTTCTGTTTCCAAATCTGTAAAGTAGGGACCATGGTGATACCTACCTACGTACTGGGTTGATGTGGGGAGTTAAGAGAGAGAATCATGTCAAGAGCTCAATATAGTGCCCAGCACTGAATAAATGTTGCCCGTAATTATCATTGGGATCATTATCCAGAGGAGAGGGTTGAAACACCTTCCCATTTGGGGGCTGTTTTATATTCCTTTTGTAAATTGTACTTTTCTTCTGTTTTCCATTATGTTTATGTTTTTTTCTCATTGAGATCTTTGTCATACTAACCCATGGTTCGTAATATTTGTTGTATATATTCTCTCCCAATTTGTCTTTTATTTATTTATTTATTTAAAATTTTTATTTATTTTTGGGTGCGTTTGGCCTTTGTTGCTGTGCACAGGCTTTCTCTAGTTGCGGTGAGCCGGGGCTAGTCTCTGTTGCAGTGTGCAGGCTTCTCATTGAGGTGG